TAATTGTAAAATGTGTTATATTTTTACCTTGCCCCCCCCCCCCCCTCCCACCGAAAAAAAATCCTGTGTGCGCCACTGCTTATGTGCAATGGTTATCAAAAATATAGTTTTATCTATTTATCTATAATATAAATGTGAATTATTATAAAATAAATATCTATCAGCTTAGTCGATAAGCGTTTAATTATTTTTTTATTTTTAATTGTTTTCAAACTTATTATCTTTTATATATTATTTTAAAGCAAATCATTTTTTTTATCAGTGAAAATGCCGAGGAGTGACTATAATCACCAAAAATGGTAAAGGAATGTTCACTTACCAAAGTCTAAATCCTATCAAATTTTTTTAGGTAGTCCATTAGACAAGACTTCTATTAATTTTTACTTTTACACAAATTTGTTTATAAAACGTTTTATAGAGTGTTAAAACTAAAAATAGGTCTCCTCCCCCCCCCAAAAAAAACTATCCTCAACATATTATGCCAGGTTAGTAAAAATTAATTGTAATATATGGTCTAAAGTGTTTATAAAAAAGAATTAAAATTTTTAGTCTAAAATATTTCATTAAAAATCCAAATAAAACCAATTTATATTAAACATAACATGTTTGATAATAAAATTATATGACAACTCACAAACTTAGGTTTTAATTATTTATTATTAAATATAAATATAAATTTAATACAAATAGAAATAGAAATATAAATAATAATAATAATAATAATATACATTTTATATGGGATACAAAACAGTCTTAACATTTATAACTGTAACAAAATTAAAAATTAACAATTGCTAAACTTGCTAATCTACAGTTGTTAGTCAATAAAACAGCAACAAATATGCGCATAATAATAATGTTTATTATAAACATCTAAACAATATATTTTTTTTATGCAACTGAAGGGTAACTTTTGTTTTTATATTTATTTATTATAGTTAATTATTTGATTTTGTAGAAAAATATTTATTTTATATAATTTTAAAATATTTTGGGGATTAGAGAATATTATACAATTTTTCATATTTTAAAATATGTGTTGTCTGTAAAAAAGATCAGATTTGTTCAATTCATAAATTTGGACTAAAATATCACAAAAAAAAAAAAAAAAACATGAACAACTGATTAAAATAAAGAAATAATAATTATTTTATTTTATTATTTAACAATATGGTCACTAGACATAAATTTGTTGTTTTATTAAAAATGTTGTGATTTTTTACATATGAAAAAACTTTATGTAAGTTATCTAAATTTTTTTACTGGACCATTAATTAAATATACGTAATTAATATATTTAATCAATGACTGGACACTTTTTTTTTT